ACAATCCATTTGTTTTAAAATAATATATATATTCAAAACAAGTAAAATGTATGTACCAAAATTCTTTACACTATAGAATATCACAGTTGTATCTAAAACTCTAAATAATTCTCTTTTCTTGTCAAAAGTCCACACAGGCTGATTAAGTTACTTTAAAATCCAATTGACAAAGCAAATTATTTTTCTCTAATCTTATCACGATAGTATCAGTGAATAATTCACTTATGTTACCCCAGTTGTATCCTGAACTTTAAATAATTCCTTTTTTTTCTGTTATCACAATATAATGAGTAATAAGTTCTCTTATATTACTCCGTGAGTTAGCACAGTTGTATACAGAGCTTTAAGTAATTCTCTTGTACATCAAAAGTCCACACAGGTGGTTTCAATTACTTTAGAACCCAATTGAAAAGATGAATTATTTTTCTCTACTCTGTTTTTACTGCACAATCTGTGATAGATTCACTTACATTACCCCATGGGTTACCACAGTTGTATACAGAATTTGAAATAATTGTCTCCTTTTTGTCAAAGGCGGGTTCAATTACTTTAGAACAATCTTTGACAAGGCAAATTATACACTTTATCTCTGTTAAACTGTGAAACTTACTTTAAAATGTTGCCTGTTATGGCGAAACTAATAATCATGCAGTCTGACCTCACTTTTACTTACTTAACATTTTCTAATATAACTTCTTTTGTTGGTTACCACAGTTGTATCCAAAGCTTTAAAAGTCCAAAAATGCTGGTTCAGTTATCTTAGGACCCAATTGACAAGACAAGTTATTTTTCCTATCTCTGTTGTTGCAATACAGCTGTGAAACACACTATAGAAATCACCCATTAAGGCTAATCACTCACACACCAGCTAACTTCATGTTTTCTTTCATTAACTAACTTTTTCTATCTTCCTTATCTTGCTGTATCTGCACGTATTTATAACACACAACAGAAAAATCTAGAACTATCTAACCCTTTACTAGCAACAATGTTACACATAACTAGAAAAACTTGGAAGTTTCAAGTAAGATGTCATCAATAGTATTACTAAAGCCTAGTACAACAATCAAACTGCATACACTATGTACGACTTGTACAGAGTTACATAACAAACTTATCATAACTATCACTTTTAACACTCTTGTTATGAAAACTAACTATTCATTAAATATTAAAACACTAAATAAACTAAGTAATGACTATTAAGCTAAACAGTTTTGTATATCAAACAACCTGACCTCTTTCCTAATGGTTTTATACATGTATATTCATGTTTTATTAACAATTGATCCTTTTTTAATTTCAGTAAATGTTTCTATAACATATTTTTTCTAGATTTTTTAGGATCTGATTGTAATTTTAAAACATTTTCTTGTATCACTTATTATATTTTCTGTCATTTTACTTAGTATTTTTACAGCTGATATCGCTTCTTTACTCATATTGATATTTTTATATTCAGGATTATAATTATAAAATGAAGACAGACCTATACTAGTTATTTGAGTTCTTATACTTGAGCTATACCCATATCCTGTTGCCTGCTGACACCATTGCCGTTACATTTAATCCTTGTGTTTTTTGTGTTTGTATGATATATAAATCTTTGATTGCTTAATACTGATCATACGTGAAGAAGATAGAAAAGTTTTCTGTTGAAACATGTAGTATACACTAACTCCACACACAAAAAAAGCAGTCATTATTTCTTTGAGTAAAGAAGGACTTTCAACAAAGCAGATTGCTAGAAAAATTAAATTTATCCAGTCTACTGTAAGCTGCTGGGTGAAGAGATATTGAGAGACTGGCTGTGTGGAGCAGTGGAAGGGAAAGGATAAGAAAAAAGCTTCCACAGCAACTGATGATCATGTTCTGAAATGCATGAGCCTGCAGAATTATTGACTGTCATCCACAGATCTCAAACAAGCATGGCAGGAAACTCCAGTGGTCATTGTCACCATGTGCATCATCCAGTCTCGTCTGTGTTCAGTCATTCTCCCAGCAAGATGGCCAAGAAAGAATCCCCTCCTCACCAACAAGATGAGACTAAACTGGGCCAAAGAGCAGGTTGACTGGAATCAAGCAAAGTGATTTTCTCAGATGAATCAAAGTTCAATCTGCACGGGTCTGATGGGAAGCACTTTGTATGATGTTGATGTGGAGAAGAGTTTTGTCTGGCTTGTTTGAATGCAGTTGTGAAGCATTTGCTGGGTCAAGTGATATGGGAATGCATCTCTGGCCAGAGTGTGGGATGTCTACATTTTGGAAAAGGCACTTTCAGTGTTGACAAGTACATCAAGATCCTCATGTCCCGGTTAAAGCCAGTAACTCAGAATCATGCCAGTGGAGCTGACCAGTGCACATTCCTGGATGACTCTGCTTCATGCCACAGGGTTAAAAAGGTTGGTAATATCATGCACTCTATGAAGAAGATGTAAAAGAAAGAGGAAATTTCACTCACTTATCCTTACCTACATTTAGTCCATTGTGCACTCTATGCCACAGGGATGTCAAGCAGTCATCAAGGCCAGAGGTGGCACAACCAAATATTAAAACAAAAAACAGACTCAGTAACCACTTACATTACATTAGTGATGTGATCTTTAAATCAAAGTTTTCTTACTCAGAGAACACTTGCTTCTTTTTCAAGTATTTGTCGATTGTCCGCTGTAATATGTTTGTCATAGTTGGTCTGTTAATAAAGATGTATATATGTGTTTGGGTGACTGGAATATGAGTCAGCTTAAACCACACAATTTCCAGAACTGTTTTACACTAGTTCTGACTTCCACAATGCATAATCTCTTAAAATTTACAGGAACCAAGAAAAGTATGGAAAATTAAAATTGGGTGATGCAATAATTTTTTCCACCACACATTTAATCTTACTGTTAATGCACTAAATGGGTTGACACATTTATTGAAGAAGAGGTGATTAACAAAATGGATTGGCCATCATGCTCAAAGAACTTCAGTCCTATCTAGCATATTGGAATGCTCAATAGGAAATGCATAGTATCCAATCAAGTGGCTACAGATACTAAAGTTACCCTAAACAGTTTTTTCAGAAGGGTGGTTGAAAACCTTATGAACATTCATTTTAAGCATGCAACATTGATACCAGGCTTTGCCTTCTATTCATACACTATATTGAAGTAAATTCTCACAAACTGTGAGATGTAAAGCCACTTCTAATAAACGTTCATTTACAGGAGTATGCTGAATGACCAGTTAGTTACTTGCTTTTCAGATCACATAACATATCATTAGATACTTAATTTATGTAAAAATGAAGTGAGAAATGAATGACATCATTTTATAATGGTGATTTTTGTCTTTTCAGAACTAAAATATTATAAACTCCAGTTATCTTTTAAAGTTTTGTGTACTGTATTATTGGTTTCTTTAATTTTCATAAATTAATGTTTAATAAAGGAATTAATGAAGTAATTTTGAATATGATACTTGTATTTCTATCCTCATTTATCTTTCCATAAGTGACAATAGAAATAAGTCAATTTCCTAGGAAATTTCTCCAAGTTTATCGTATAATTATACAGTGAGAAAGAAAATAAGATTTTAGTGTAAAAACATTGTTTTTTTACATGTATTATCAGTTGCCATCTTTGTTACCTATAAAATAATTATGTATAACTTTTTTTTCTGTAAAACTTTTGTGACAACTGATTATAAATTATTTTTTCAGCCAAGTGAGCATAAAGACATCATCATACACATGACAAGACTTGTTGACAGCATCACTGTTCCTATGGCTAAAGCTTCAATTCTTTGGCTTTTAGGAGAGTATTCTGACAGAGTTCCAAAAATAGCACCAGATGTCCTTCGGAAAGTGGCAAAAACTTTCATTAATGAAGTGAGCAGAAACTTGTGTTATTTTTTATCATACACCCTTTCTCATTTTCCTGACTTTATTTTTATATAAATTAGTTTAAATTTTATTAGGTAAATTGGCAAAAAAAGCTACTTTCAGATAAAGATAACTTTCATTGTGTAATTTTCTTGATCTTTTATTGTTTAAAATCACTACATGATTCTGTATTTCTATACTAGGAGAACCGAAGGAGTTTTAATATTTTAAGGGTATAAAAACATGCAGAGATAGTAATCATTGTCTGATGGTTTGTTTACATTTTCATAAGTGATGAAAAAATTTGTGTAACAATGCAGATTCATATTTTAATATTATCAAGTTAAATGTCATTTTACTATTTTGAATTTAACTATTTACCAGTTTACCAGGAAAATCAATTAATTGCTACTCTGAAATCTACAGATGTAAAGTAAACAAGACTTCCACATCTTAATAATTGTCATGAAACTTGTTTTATTTATCATTATATTTCTTTATATTAAATGTTTCTTCACGTGTTTTGCAGGAGGACATTGTGAAACTTCAGACTTTGAACCTAGCTGCCAAACTGTATCTTACCAATTCTAAACAGACCAAGCTTCTGACACAATATGTTTTCAACCTAGCTAAGTATGATCAGAACTATGACATTAGAGATCGAGCACGTTTCCTGCGGCAACTTATCATGCCCCAAGGGGAAAAGGGAACTGTTCTTGCAAAATATGCCAAGAAGATTCTCCTTGCCTCAAAACCAGCACCCATATTGGAGTCCCGATTCAAAGGTTGGTGAAGTAGGATAGAATTGTTCTGTTTGATTTTAATGTTTATTGTGGTTTCTGATGTCCCTGGTGATAGTATATTATTACAACTGCTTTTTTCTTACTGAAGCTTGGTATGACCACAGTGGCAACTGTAAAATTCCGATATGGAAGTAGAAGATGGAGACGTGTGTTGATAGATCAAAAAACATTTATGCCAGAAATTAGGTTTATAAATAAATAAAAAAATTATAAAACTTTAAATGATTTTTAAAGCAAGACAAATGTGTTAATGAGAGTAAGAAGGATTATGATTACTAAAGTGGCCACCCAGAAATCTGATTTTTTAACATCAAAATAGCACTGAAGAACAGAGATTTCACTGTATCTAAAATAAAAGTTAATAAATAAAAAAGCACAGATAAGAATGTAGAACTGATTCTACTAATGCTTTTAAAATACTAAAATTTGATGCTCTAACATTTCTTTAGAATTCAGTGTTTTGCTATCCAGGTCTTCCACTTTTTTGTTTAAGTTGTGGTTAGACTTGTTTTAGTTTAGCAGTTACATGTATGTATAAAGAGCATGTTGAAATTAATCTCTCTATAAACTTGGCTTGTAATATACTTAAAGAAAAAAAATAATTTGATAATGGAATGCAAATGAAGCTTAATATTTATAATGTCACAAAGACTTCGATAAGTGCACACCATAGAAACTTAATACAGCATTATCAAAGGCAAGTAAAAAAACTAATACTGTACATGAATTAAACCCATTCATGCTTTCTAATGCAGTGCTATGTTTTCATAACTTATCATTATACTTAAACCTTGTTTTAGCTCTAACATATGGCTAATTAATTACAGATGTAATTTCTGACAGACTGTTCATACTTGTTACATTACACAAATGGTGGGGCCTATTAAACTTGTACATAGTAGATATATATTAGTTCTTTACTGTTTTGCTTCTCCACAATATTGTAAATTTGATTTTCCTTAAAGGATAGAAATTCATGAAGATACTTGATATATGATTTACTATTTATTGAGACAAAACGTTTTCTCATTTACTTCATTCTTCCAAAAAAGAAATTTGTAGCAAAACGTTTTGATTCACAGTTAGTGTTAGTATGTTCTATTTTTACTTATATTTTTAGTCAAATAAGTTCACAATGCGAGACAATTTTGAAATTTATTTTCTATTTTCTAGTTGAATTTTTTATTAATACCTTAAAGATTTTGCTTTAAGCTATAAGTTTATTTTATTTCTTTTAGATCATGACCAGTTTCAGTTAGGATCCTTGTCTCACTACATAAATGCAAGAGCTAATGGTTATCACGAATTGCCACATTTTCCTGAAAATGCTCCTGACCCCTCAGTTCGTAATGTAGAGGTGGTGATGCCATGGCAGGAGGTACACACCACAAAGAAAAAGAAACAAATTGTGAAAAAAAATCTTTCTATTCAGAAACTGAGACAAGCTCTCCTGAAGGTGATGGTAAGTATTTTATTTTCACTGTTTTTTTATTGTTAGAATTGTAAATTGTTACAGGGATAAAAACACTTACTTTACAGGAAAATGAAGTTTTTAATGCAATTACATGTTTTTGTCTTTGCTGACTTCAGAAGGTCAGTCTAATTTTGATGATTACAAGTAATACAATAATCCACTAAAACTGGCAGATCTGCTTGCAGAAAATAATGTTTTTTCATAATACAGTATAGCAGTTCACAAATTCTAGATTCAAGAACTATAAAATATGTGCATGTTTCAATTGTTCTTCATCCTGAACTGTACTAATTTTAATGTTGTTGATTTCACTTTTGAGGCTATATTTTGAACCACAGAGATTTATAGGGGAAAATTTTGATTCAGTAAAGTTGGTGGAAGAAAGCTAATGTGATTTTGAAGTGAATTCTGGAATTTTGATAGTTAAGCTTGGGTATTGTGTTCCAACTCTATATGATGTTCTTAATTATATTACAAAGAATTGTGGTTTTGTACAACACATGCTAGTTACCTGTATAATTTAATGTTATATATTTTCTTTTTAAAACAGCATCAGAGACATCTGAACCTGAAGAATCAGAATCAGAAAGTAAAAGTAGCGAAGAGGAAGAAAGTAATAGCAATAGTAAGTCTGGAGCTAATAGCAGTGACAGTGGAGCAAGCAGCATATCTGAGAGTGAGTCTGATTCAGAAGTGAAAGAGAAAGTTAAAGCAAACAATAAAAGTTCTAATAGTGAATCTAGCAGTGAAGAAGATTCAAGTTCTGGTGATGTTGATGAGACTGATTCTAGTGGAACAGAAGAAGAAAAGAAGCCAAAGGTACATTAAAAAATTCTGTGTTAAAAACTATATTCCTGATAGATCAGTTTCAGATATGTGATGATCTACTGCTATTGTTTAGAAATGGAAACTAATATACCAGTTGTTGATAGTTAATGTTTAAAATCTATTGCAAAGTTTCACTCTTGCATCAGTATTTTGAATTTATTATTGAAATTGTATTTTTGGTCATGATTAGAATAAAAAAAAGTCAATCACTGATATTACAAACATTCAATATATTCCACTAGAATGATTTTGAAAACTGTTTGTTACAAATTATCACATTTAGATATTTATATCAAACCTGTTAAAAAGTATGTGATGACTTATTCTAAGAATGATTTTCATGAATGAAATTTTAGGATTAAAGTTTATGTGAATGGCTCTAGATTTGGAGCTGAAACTTATAGGTAGGAACTAGGATGTTGACATTTATCTGTAGAACATCGTTTAGTGCCATTCACAGTTACTTAGAATTAGTTTTTACGCACATTTAACACCTCTCATTAATCAAACAGCAAGGATATGTGTCAAGAGCATATAAATTTTGCTTTGTGCTTATTAATAATATGAAGTATATTTTATCAGCACTTCGTTTTTGTAGTAGTTGTGTGTTGATAAGCTACAAATGGACATATTAGGTTTGTCAATTCATAAAATGTCGTTTTTTTGTGTACACAGAAACCACCTCCTAAAAAGAAAAACAAAGAAAATAAAATTTCTGAAGAAGTAAAAAACAACCTTGACTTACTTTTGGACTTAGAAGATTGTAAGTTGTTTAGAATTATTCATATGTTAGCAATCGGATAGTTTTTCAAACCTTTCTCATTTCAGAAGTTATTAGTTTAAAGGTATTTTAATTTTCTAATTATTGGTTTAAACCTCATCTAATTGTATTATATAGATAGAAAATTGTTAGAGATTTCATCTCAAAGACTAAAGTTTCAGTGATTTTTAATGTAAAAGAACAGCAAGTTATTAGATTTAAATTGATTTTGTAAGTTAAAACATCTAGAGGTACTAGTTAAAACTTGTTACATTTGAACTACCACTATATAATGTTGCTTGCTTTATCAAGCTAGAAAATATACAGATTCTTTTTGATTTTATAGTCTTAAGGAAGCAGTAGGATTTCTTAGTTTTCTCTGGTTGGAAAGGCATTAGAATTACTTCTTTTACTAAATAAATTTATTATGGCTTTTTTAACATCTCTCGTATTAGCAAATTTGGTAAAATTTTTGCACCAGGGATAGGATCACCAAAAATCAATGTTGGAATTTGATTGCAGAAGTGATACTAAAGGAAAGTTCTAATGATAAGAATTTCAGTTTTTTTTTAATAGCAAAATATTAAATACAGATGAAGATATGGCTACATAAAGATCAATGTATCAACAAATATTAGTTATACATTAGGAATGTTAGATAACTAGCACTGCAGTTGTAAACAGCCTCATTTGAAATACGTTTACAAGATACTGTATCAAGCTTAAAGATCAGCTAGTCTGTTGTGTTCTGATATCAAATGAAAAACTTTGTTTTGTAATTAAGCACACAATGGAGCTAATAACACCCTTCTCTGGATAAAATGATTTCTTTGGTTTCTCTGCTATTTTTTGTAACTTGTTTTCCTATATTAAGTAATAAATAATCTGCATCATTGGGTAAGATGATAGATTATATTCTCTTTAGTACTGATATGCTGAAGGTATTTATACAACCTGTTTTATCAATAGAATTATAGGATTCATTTTCATGTGACTTTCGAATTGGTAAATTTCTTGCCTAAGAACTATCTGTTTTAAAAACATTTCTAATATTATATGAATTTTTGCATTCTTTCAAGATGCATTTACTTTCTTTAACGTCATCACTATCTTCACTTAAGGCCGAAATGTCATTATGTATAAAATCCATATCATCATTTTCGTTATGTACAACTTCATTGATATTTACAATATTTTCCTTGTAATTTGGCCGGTTTTGTTTTATTATGCTGTTTTTTTTGCATCATTAGTACTCGCAAATACATTTTTTGACATTTTCCTCCATGTTTTCCACCTTGATTTATCAGAAATTGATAATCCATCACATTTACAGCCACAATGGGAGCATGCTAAGCATTTTGAATATCTAGGCCTTTTTATATTTGCAAGATAAATGGTTCATTTTGAATTAGAATTGCAGTTTATTCAACATTTGTTGAAGCTGATGTCAGCAATTTTTGATCCATTGATTTGGATCAGCCAGTGTTCCACTGAAGCTAAAAATAGGATAAATCTTTGTCTATTTTGGCCAGTGATATTGTTCAAAAAAGAAAACCGGGAAAACTGCTTCTGCAATGGGTCATTTTTTTTTACAAACATGAACTTACCCAATCTGCAGATATGGGCATTAGTAAAAGTTACTTTTGATATTTGAAATTCATTTCTTTTCAACAAAGCATTCAGAACTTAGGTAGCAGCTTTATCATTTCTGAACAAGGGCTCAGTAATTCATATTTATAAAACAAAACAGTTACTATTGAATATTTTTAATTAACCAAAATAAAAATTTATTCTTTAAGTATAATAATAAATTTTGGTTATTTCAAAGCTAAAAACAGATCCAGAACAGTTTTAGAAATTAGTTCACTTATAAGTGTAAACCCAGTCGTGGTAATCCAAATTTTGATAGCAATGTTTATATTTTGCAGTTTTTAATTGCTAACTTTTCTTCTTTTGATTCCATGCATAATTTAGTGATAATTGGTAGTTTATTTCTTTGTTTGTGAAGTACACCAGTCCGATTCACTGTAAGGTAATAAACTAAACACATAACATCTAGGCCCGGCATGGCCAGGTGGTTAGGATGCTCCACTTGCAATCTGCGGGTTCGAATCCCCGTCACACCAAACATGCTTGCCCTTTCAGCTGTGGGGACATTATAATATGATGGTCAATTCCACTATTTGTTGGTAAAATAGTAGCCCAAGAGTTGGCGGTGGGTGGTGATGACTAGCTGCCTTCCCTCTAGTCTTACACTGCTAAATTAGGAACGGCTAGTGCAGATAGCCCTCATGTAGCTTTGCGCCAAATTCAAAACAAACAAACATAACATCTATGCATATTTTTCATGACTACAGCACCTCCTCAATAATCCAGTCATAAATGGTTGTATTTATTTGCTTCTTTGTCATTGCCCTAATACTCATTCAGTAATCCAGTATTTGTTAGTTATATAGATTTTTTCTATACAGATAACCAATTTTAAGTTTGAGCCAGTAAAAAAATTGAAATAAAACCAGCACAGTGCATACTATAATATCAATGTTGGTGAAAAAGATCAACTATTCTAAGTAAAAACTATAAAGTAGGCATTAGAAGGAGCTGTAAAAGGTGAAAAATTAGTGAAATAAAAACATTTAACTCATTTTTGTTGTTGTTAAAAGTAATCTTTTAGCTTTAATTTAAATATTGGTCCAAACATCAGTCCAGCTTTCAATGTAGTATCTATTTTGTTAGTTTCCTTAACCTCAAGCTCGGGTCCAGTAATCCAGCCAACATCAGCTACTAATATCCTTACACCATCTACAGAGAAAACATCATCCTTTGTTCAGAGTCCTCTCTTTTCTCCTGTAAGTTATTTTGCTTGGCTTATAACTTTGATTATGTATTCTGGTTAGTTTTATACAATTATAACATTTCTGGTGCATCTGTTACCTGTTATACAAAAATTATAAGTGTTAACCTGTGATATTTGATAGATTCAAGCTTTGAAACTAATCAAGTATTTATTTTTTTGTTTTGGAAAAAATTAAAGCTGAATGCAAAAAATCAAAACATGGGACTAAATGACAATGAGATATGTATTATAGAGCATGTGTCTGTCTGATAGTAACAAATATTTTCCAATTTCCTGAGCACCATTAAACCACATACTTTGTTCATTTTCGTATCTCTATGAGTTTCATATCTGTTTAAATGTCTTCCCTTGCCACTGTGGACATATACATAAGAGCAATCTCTGTGAAGGCAGTGAAATAAATGCTGTGGTTGGCATGGTTATTTTACTAGTTTAATTTTAATATCATTGTCTTTTTTTTTATATAAAATTGATATTGGTAAGTTAAATTATCAAGAATATAGTCAGAAGTACTCTGATGACACTTTGGAAATATTTGCAGTAAAAATCTCATTCCTTTGGTTTATGTTCTTAGACATAGTAGAAGTTAAGTCTTTGTTGTTCTGTGCTCTCTCTTGTGTCTCCCAGTGGGTCAGTGGTAAGGTTATGGACTAAAATTATAAAATCTGTGGTTTGATTATTTGTGGTAGACAGAACACATATACCACATTGTGTAGTTTAGTGTTAAAACAAAGAAACACAGTGTTGTCTCTTGTATATATATCTGTGTGATTTGTTCATATTTAATAATTATCTTTATCTGTTCTGAAATATTTGTTTTTGATTCTACCCCTTATTCAGTTGCTGGGGTGCTGCTTTCAAGCAACTGAACAATAACTTGTGTATCTCACATACAGCCTTCTGGCAATAATCAAAAAAATTGTAATTGTACTGCTTGGTAAATATTTGTTAGTAAATGTTCACAGTATTTAAGAGCAATAAGTGACTGTATATTTTTAAGACAAATGTTATTCAAGGTTATATTGTAGGTCATTATTGTACGTTTCTTTTTAGTGAGATTAGAGTATTTGGCAATGAATGTTGGTCATTTAATTGTCAGTTTTTTTACTTGTGTGTTATCAACTCAAGGTGAACAATCCAGTGTTTATTCCAACAAAACAACATGAACTGCTTAATCGGTACAGTGGGAATGGCCTAATTGTTTCTTATCGGTTCACACGAACATCAAATATCTACTCACCAAAGATGACATCTGTAGAGCTGAATTTTGTCAACAATGGGAGTGATGAGATTAAGAAGCTTTACATTCCAGATAAGGTAATAGCCTTATTTGTTAGTGGGTTTGTGTTTGTTGTAACATTTTTATCTAACGTAGTATTAAAACTTCCTCATCTTATCTTTTTAAACATCAAATATATCTTATGTAATAAATTTCTAATAAAAGCTCTGTTCATGCATTTGACAAGCTGAGAATAAGAAATATGCTTAAAAAGCTTTGGGAGTAAACATTACCTATTATTAGGATGCACTTGAGCAAATTAATATTAATTTCCAATCAAAGCAAGCTGTCCGCTTAAATCAAAACAAAAATTCAATACGTTATATATATTTTTCTTCCTTATAAAGATTAGAATGTATTGTTTCATTAGTTGATATTCTTGTTGTTAATGATTTTTTTTGGTGTTAACTCAGTAATAACTTGGATATATTGGTCAGCTTAGGAAATTTTTGTTAGTCCTAAATTGATATTTTAAGCTGTTTATTCAAAACAACCTCTATAGTCATTCATTCAGGAGTTCGTATAATAAAAGATAATAAAACTATTAAATATTGTAGCAAATATTGTTAATGATGAAAATAACATTACAAAAATAATAGTATACATTAGTGAGTGCTCCACTACTGATTGCTCTCTCTTATTTCTAGTTGCCAATGTGTCATATAATGTGCGCTTTATTTTGAAAATATGTTGTATCATGAAATATATTTATTCAGCATATATTGTTCCAAGCGACTTCTGTCAAACATGTTTTTTTTGTAACCGAGTAAAGGGGTTTTCACTCATCAGTGTAGTACGAGGAAATCATAATTGAGTTAATATTCCTATTAACAACTAATGGATGTAGAACAGTTGAAGATAAAACATTCAAGCATATGTTTTTCTCCAACTTCAGCTATAAAACAATACTAGACAGCTTGATTTTCATTTAGAAAAATACATAGTGTGTCACTGTGTTAACCCAGTGTCATAACCTAAGAACTTTATTTAATACAAGAAGGCTATATTATCCTACTTTCAAATATCATTGTGCTTATGAATCTTTGTTTTATTAATTTATTACCATACTCCTTTTCCTCAGGTGTGAAGCAAAACAAGAAAAAATAACTCTGAAGAAGGGATATTTACCTTCCACTAGTTTTTGAGTTATTGATTTTTGTTTTGTGATTTATTGAAGTTTTTATCATCCTGGTTTTTTAGTATCATGAATGTGTCTCATTAAAAGTATATGCATACAGTATTGTTTCTAGTGCTTGAGACTCCAAAAAAACATGTGGGTTTAACTTGTTAATATTGACAATGTGAAATAAACAATTGATACTGGAGAATTGATTTTTTAAATATGTTTATTTAAAAACAGTTATCTCTAATTTTAAAATGTTCTTAATATTTGGTTGTTTTAGAAAAATAATAAGAAAATTAACACTGTGGCACCTGGATGGGTACATTGTGCACTGATGGGAAAAATGCACCATTAATTAAGATAATCATAAACAAAACTTGCAGTTTTTCTTCTACTCATTAAATATTTTCCTAAACCTAAAGTTCTTCTAAAGTTTCAATCTGTTGTATTTTATTTTCAATGCAATAACATCATACATTAAGTTTGTGTCAAACTGATACAATTGGACATTTTAGAGTTAAACACTTCAATACTCAAGACAATTAACATTGTTTTTTTGCTTTACATCATGATCTACAAAGGTTCTTGGTTTCAGTTTGTTTATGTTTTAGACAGAGAATGCTAACATATTCATCACAAGAATCAATATATCACTATGAAATAAATAAACCAATAAAATTATAATGTTTAAAGACAAAGCTAAGATTTGGTTACTGACCATCTGTGTACTTTACAAAAACTTGGATAATTTCATTTTAAGCCTTTAGTAGTCCCTTAAGAAATACGAAAGCACACACATGTTTTCCAGTGACAGCCTAGATAATTTGGCATAATCAGTTGTTTCTGTGCTTCAAATTATGTTAACTTATTATTAGGCAAATTGTTGCCATCTGGTCAAGACTAAATTTAGCAATAGGTTGTGTATTTGAAAGTTCCTCTGCCAGATTAAAAACAACTACTAGCTTGTTCCAACAATGATCACTGATTGAATAACTTAGAAACATATATGTAAGACATTACATAAGGGAATGGCACACATGCTACATGTATTTAAAGAAACAACTGAAATCCTCACCTTTTTTTGCTAATATATTTTAGAGTCATGCAAGAAATATATAATTGAAGAGAAAGCCCACAATTTATGGCTTTGTTAACTTAACTGTTCTTTAAATAGCTACAAAGTCAGGAGAATTTAAATAATTTAACCACTGAGATGTAATTTTTGAAGGCAGAATTTAAGATAAAAAGTGAGGAACAACAAACACATGTAATATTAAACAATTGATGTTTGTAATATATTTCTATTTTAACAAATGCAAAATACTTTCCATTTTTTATTGTGGCTATTACAAAAAATAATAATGAATATAGTGGAGACTGAATATTTGCAAAGCAATTTCATGCAATTTACAGCTTTATCATAATTACTATATGCAAACTGTCATCACCAACTTTACATCAAACAAGTCAGGAGATAGAAACAATAATAAAGTAAGTCTCTGTGGTACAGATCTGCTGTTGTGTACTAAACAATATGGTGTTTAAAACAGTATCAAACAAACTTTTGAGGTATAAAAAGTCTGACTAAACACTGTACAGTTTCGCCAATCACAACTTTATTTGCATCATATTTGGATTCTAAGAATGGTCAACTGTTGAGTGTGCTGGACTGTGGATTTGAGGATCCATGATTTGTGTCGAAATGCCACACACACACACACACACACACACACACACACACACACAAACAAATTGAGCTTAACACTTTGTGGTCATGGGTGAATTATAAAAGTGACAGCCAAGTACAGCCATTATACATGGTAAGCTATATCTTGAGATTTTAGCTCATAGCAACTGAAACCTTTCATAGTCTCCAGTGGAACTGTGGCATATGAATACAACCCCCCCCCCCCAAAAAAACAAACCAGAAAACATTAACAATAAAATGCCTCTAGGATTTTTTATGTAAAAATTGGGGGTTTGAAATTTTTTCAAAAGTCCAGTAATAACTATTGTTAGTGAATGTTCCATTATTACTTTTTTATGTTGATGTCACTGTCTTGTCTTTGAACTTACAACCAGCTACTGGGCTAAATTACAGGTTGACTGACTTTTGTATTTCTATAAAAAAATGTGTAGTAGGTGAGGTACATTACGATTCCTTGCTTGTCAAACCAAACTTCCAGTTGTCTTATTCATTACATTTAATAAAGCATTCACATGCAAACATGAAAATGCTTATTTTCCATTTCTAGAAAGTTCTAAAGAGAAAATCTATTAATACTCTTTAAATTCAACTGAGAAATATGCCACTTCTTTAGAAATTCTGTAAGTGATACTTTTACACACAGGGTTTTAAGCAAGTATCATGTGTAATAACAAATATGAAATGTCACATCAAATTAAGATAATCATAGGTACATACTTTTTATCTAATTTACATTATACTGATGTTTTTAATTATAACAATTAGAAGGTTACTAATTAGACTCCTTGATACAGCAGACTATAATTTTGTCTTGCTTGTAATAGAAGCATTAAGTGATTCTATATTTGACTGCATGTAAAGGGCAAGATCTTTTTACTTTTTGTACTTATTGACTAAAAAAGCTGCAGTATTGTATTTTTTAACTGTAATGATTAACTTTTAATTACATTTTAAAATGCTATGAAAAACAGTATTTAGTCTGAGAAATTGAACACAAAGTAAGGTTTCACGACAAAACTTAATTTTTTTTAACCTTATGTTTACTGCATGTTCAAAGTGTGCATGTCACTAACTTTTATAGTTACATTTAAAAGTTAATTAAATAATTTTGTTTTTAACGAATGTCAGTAAGATTTTAATCAAAATGTAGTTTATAATTCAAATTTTTGTATTATCTAAATTTTAATTTTTTAATTTCAAAAGGAAACATTTAAATAACTTCTTAATCTTAACTTGTTTGTGTCATATGATTCCCTTGCACTCGAAATTGCCCATTTTAGGTTTTCTTTCTACCTTTTTATAAGTTTATTATTACAAACTCATACTATAGATATTGAAAAGCCTGGTTATAAATTTAGAACCTTAATTCATCTTCACATCCCACTGACTCAGTGGTGAGTCTCACAGTTTAAAGCAATTAAATTCAGGTTTTGATACCTGCAGTTGGCATAACACAGATAGCCAAATTTGCAGCTTTGTGCTTAATAACAAACAAACTGATCTTCGCCTTGACTTGGATGTAAAATAAAAATGTCAAATCAACATGACAAGTCCCTCCTGTACCATTCTGCCTTTCACAAAATATCAGTAACTCTTGCTGATATTGCTATTGGATTATTTATAACCAATAAAAAGAGAAGCTTTTTTTATGTGATTCTTTATATGGGCCATTTTGTTTTGCTGTTTGTAAGTAGATATTTGGCTTTAGTTTCATTATTTGCAATCATGGCTTACACAATTTTTTTTTAACCTGTTTATAGCTTAAGTAGAAAGCCAGTTAGATTGTGGTAGTTCTGAGACTTTCTACAGTAATGCTTTATAAATTCTTTATGTTCTAAAATGCATATTTAAAATGACAATGTTCTTTGTCCACAAAATAATTCATTTTTATTTTATTACAAATGTGTACTTTAAACAGTTCCTACACTGAAACATGAATACTCAAGTCACACTGACAACATATCTGGCAGAATTATATCATAACAAGCTCTCCATATACAAATAGAGTTTAAAAAACAGGTTTGCTAGGCTTGGTATGTTTGTTGACCTTTTCATGCTATGAATACAAATATTTCTTTTCATCTTACAGTTTCATATTTAATTTACATAACCTACAGAACTTCCTAAATGAATATCAAGATGTTTTAGCAAGACTATATTTTATTCACATTTGGTTTCATTTAGTTAAACCATCTCGGAGTACACTAAAACTATATTATATCTCAGCTGGACAGCTTTGTGTAAATAAATGGTTGAGTTACAACCACACCATGCATGGTTGACTCAATGTAGGATATCAAGTATCAGATATGTTGTCAGTGTGACTTGAGTATTCATGTTTCAGTGAAGGAACTGTTTAAAGTACATATTAGTAATTTTTGTAAAGTAAGATTTTTACAGGTAATGCTGAAGAACAAAAGACCATTGTTTTTCTTTTGTTTGCTTAAGTGCATCTGTAGAATAGGTGATGTTTACCTCAAAAGGGTCATAAGCATGTTAACCTTAAGTAACAATATTTAGACACAAGAGATTAGCTTCTCTTGTAAAATATTTGACAGAACAAATATACTTTGATTAATCTTTTTTAATTTTCATTAGGCCATTTAGATATCCTTGCATTATTTGTTGTCATATTATTTTTGTAATGGATATATGCTAATTTTTCACCTGGGGTTTTATGGACATTTTTATTTCAATACTGGAAATGTCTTACAGTGAAATGATTTAACATTTTGGGGAAACATGTTTAATCTAGTTTGAATCTCTAACTTTTCAAATAATATTGTTAATTCAAAATCTTTGATCTTTGCTTATAATAGGGTTTTAATTTTTGATTATAATTCTTTGCATGTTGTTCTTATTGTCTGTTTTTTTATTTAATTTTTATCCAACTTGGTAGAAATCAGGAGATATGGAAATTAAAGGAATGCCAGAGATAGGTATGTGTTTCTCTTCAGCTTATATTTTTCTTATGTTCATTTGAAATAACTTCATCAAAGTTTGTAGTTACAATGCAGAAACTGAAAGTATGAGTAATAAGCTTTCTTCAGTATCAGAATAATACATTTATTACAAAATTTCCACTAAAACTAGTCTAATACTATAAAACACTGTGTGTGTGTATGTTTGTCTGTCTGTCTTTTGGTCATGCACTGATGTCATTGCAACTTATTAGGTAATTTAAGTAGTTTGGCTTCTTGTCAATTAGATGTGAGTAGTCTACGATTGATCGAAAATTAAAGATATATTTGGATTAAAATGTACAAAAAATTGCACCTTTTTTTTTTGCAATTTGAAAATGTATCTTTGTTAAATTGTCGAATTATGCCAGAAAGAATGTAAGTATACTTTAGTAGTCATTTTATACAACATATTAAAAGCTTATCAATGTTTTTAAAAAGGTTTAATGTTAGGTTGTACAATAATATCAGAAGATTATTCATTGATAGTATTAAGTGTGGTAAGGTTTAGCCCTAACTGAACTAAAGCAAAAAACGTACACAAGTTAGTGTTAATTTATCTCTTTATCGAATATAGTCCGTACTTAATAAAGGCTTAACTAATATCAGAACTAAGACAAGTGGACTTATAGATTTCAGTGTCTGTGATTAGAATTCTTTTGTATTACTCTAGAAATCCTGTATTTAAAGAAGTACTGTTGCAGTAATGATACTAAACTAGTTTAATAATAGTGTTCTAATCAGGTATTGTATGCATTGTCTAATTTAAAGATAACATTATTTGTGAAATCATAGCATTAGAAATAAAACTACAAATTATTTTACATTTTTAGCATTTCTTCCTGTGGGTCATTCAGTATCAACAAACATTGGTATTGATTACAATGAAAGTACCCAACCAGCTAACTTAGAGATTACTACTGAGAAGCAGAAGTTTAATGTAACAATCAAAGCTCCCATTGGTGAAATCCTACAACCTGTTATAATAAATGAAGATAATTTTTTGACACAACAAGGTAAGGATATTTAATAATGTGTTTGTTGGAGCATAAATGAAGACTAGTTCTTATAAAGAACTGGTTAATATCTTTAACCTCAAATGAACATTAATTACTAAGTATATAGAACAAGCTTATATCCAGAACCAGTCTTCAAATTTCACTCCTTTTTCAATTACTAGCCAGACCTGATTAATTCTTACCTTGTAAGAGAATGGTTGATACAATTAAAGTCAGAGTTTGATCAGTAGTATAGTTAAAGCTTTAAATCTGGTCTGTTGATCTTTTGTTAGTTTGATACATGAGATTTATGAAATGAATACCTGATCTGTACTATGGCTGAATGGCAGTAGGAGAGAGCAAAGGATACATTTGCATTGGGTCCAATCCCAAAAAGTTAGAGAAAATTTCAAGCTCTGTTATGGACCCTAGAATAGGACTTTGCATGAGACCTCTTGACTACTATAATATGTCATCACCCCTACAGTTTAGTATAGTTAAATGTTACAACTTTTAAAAATTTGAGAGTGGTTTGACTATGAAAGTGTTTGCTTGTATGATATTTTTTTTTCTAAACCTTTAAATGGGTGTTAAAAATAAAAAAATAGCCTAAAAAAAGGACTATAATTATGAAATTTAAAGACTTTCATAAGTAAATATGTTTTGATGCTAAATGGTTAAGTAACAGGTGAGAATAAAAGAGAAGTAATAAAATTTACTATGTATATGTAATTATCTGTGAAGGAAAGAGGGAGTACCCATGGGAAAATCTTGTCCAGAGTCTGTCAGATCCATACTATGACTACAATTGAGTATTCTTAGATTAGTATCTGACTTTTAATGTGACTGAGTTACACTGTACTCTAAGCTCATATGTGACCTGTACTGTGACTAAGTGTTATAAGTTAATGTTTGACCTGTTTTGTAATTGTTTTAAGGTTATTATCTGACTTCTATTTTGGCTAAATATTGTGAAGTAAGTTAAGATCTGACCTGTATTGTAACTAGGTATTTTGTATTACATTTAACATTGTTATACTTCATTACAGAGCCAATATTCTAGCTATTTACTGTATGATTCAGGTATTCATTTAGTTTCTTATTATTTTTGTATCAGCATAAACATTAGTTTCTGTTTGCACTCTTGGTAATGACCTGTTACTTGATTCTACACGTAAATAGTAATATGTAATTTAGCTCAGATGCTACTTTCCTTTAAAGTTACACTGTTTGAGCTGTTTAGTGGGGTTATCATTTGTTGCAAGATGTTTTTAGGGAGGGTTGTAAATGTTTTGTTTTTACCCTGCTATATTGATGCTATGTTATTCATGAATATTAAATCCTGATGGTACTAGATGCAAATGGCTAAGTTTTGTGTGTTTGGTAAGTAAACTATACTCTAATATATCTTTATTGTTATGTTCATTAACAGCATTGGTTATAATGTTCAATATAACTAATTTTAGTAATTTTGAATTTTTATTTTATTTCCATACTTTTATTATGAAGATTGATTTGTATTGTAAGCATTATATTTGTATTTAGGACTAACTCTAGTAATTATTGTTAAGCTGGCTAAACCTCAGAGATCTTATTGGAATTATGGACAAAAGTATTGTTAGCAGTGAGGGTGCCCAACTGACAAAACAATGCATTCTAATCTTTATAAGTAAGGATTTAACAAAAGTTAATCTAATTAGCTATTTTCATTACCAGGTTGATTTCTAGTTTTGCTCTAAGTACATAACTTCTGTGATTGGAAGTTTATTATTAATATCTGATGAGTACTGTATCTGCATATTTGAAGAGTTAATATTTAGTCTGTATTGTGAGTATTCTAATGAGTAATGTGACCTATACTTTGACTGATTATTTTAAGCTTCATATCTGACCTACACCGTGATTGAGCATTATAAGATTTATTGTATGATGAATAGTATGACTGAGCTTTTAAAATGTGTACTTAACCAGTAATTTATGCTGTATATTTTCTATTATTGTTTGTTTTTTGTTGCTACAGGCAAATTAAAAGGAATGAATGAAAACAGTTGTACAGTAGAGTTACCTAATGAGAAGACTGATGGGAAACACATTGTGTCAAAATTATATGAAGTTGCAAACATCATGCAGGTGTTAACGACAGATGAAACCTCTGGAATTTATAGGTAAGGATTCAGTTTAGTTGGACATTTGTAAGGAAGTTATTTATGTAGATGCATATTTGATGGAGTTTTGTGCAATTGTACAGATAACCTCTGTCAACGTTTCCCAAATGTGAAGTGTGTTAATATATATGTGGCTGTTTTACCTGTGCTTTTTATTAAAATAATCAGAAAAATAGTTTTCAGGAAAAGGGAAAATGTGATTTGCTGTAATTTTCTTTTATCTTATAGATATAGTTTGAGCTACTTATAAGAAGTTTTGGCACAGTTTTTTGTATGATGCTACACTGTAGTCTTTCTATATTTATTAAGGATCTGACAAGTAGAAGTTTTGGTGGGCAAATAAGATTTTGGTATTTTTGTATGGGATAGTACATGTACCATTACATGTTGAAAATGCACCACAGGTGCAAGCTACCACTTAATGATAGTATAGTGTTGAACCATTCATGTTATTGTTTTTTAAAACTTTGTATTGATGTTTAATTCTACATGAGCAAGCAGCCATTGCAGGCCCTTTATGTGAATGTGGCACAAGACAGTGATTTACACCCCCACTCCTGATCTCCTGCTGAGACTGTGTTCACTGTTAGTTTTGTTGTCACTATGGTGATTACCTGTGGCACACAGTGGGTGGGCATGATAGTTATGTAAACTGCAAAATGTCTATCTGTATCATGACTGCTATGGCTCCCACTCTTTAACACAGGGGAAAATGTTAGTGTTTAGAAACTAGCAGAAAGCACCAGTGGGCTATATGATGCATTATGTGTAACATTTATAATATTGTAAGATAATCCACTGGTGGAAATGACATCAGATTATCCGCTTCATTGCAGAATAATCTGATCAGATTGGATTTCATGAAATAATGCTGCATTGGATCAAATATTTGTGTATACACAATGCTTACGTTTTTTTTATATTTAGAATTATGTATTCTCTCAAACATGGAACCAATTTTACTTTTGTCTATTTTCCAAAAATTAAAAAAAAATCACATCTAATTTGTAATATAGCATAAGCTGGACAGTTAAGTTATTCATATTTAGCTTTGTAGTAAGTAGTGATCTCACAGTTATGCAGCTTCAGGTTGTAATTATAAATTTACTTGTTTAAATATTACTGACCACAAAAGTAAGCCTTTATTAAATGTTTGTAATATAAACAGAAAAATTAAGCTATAAATTTTATTTCTTAAAGAAGAAGAAAAAAATATACAGACACATCCTGTAAGTAGAAAAGAAGAGTACTTGGTATATTGCTTGGTTTTGCAAAGTTCTGTATATATTTTCTGTGTGTTGTGTATATTTGCATTTCACTTGCATTTTTATATTTGTGCAAACAGTTAACATTGTTTATTATGGATGGTAAGAAAAACAGTATTATATATAAATGAACTCTTACTTATTTTATACATTACTTTTCTCTTCTTTTTTTTTCTTCTTTCCAGGTTTTCTTCCAAAACATTGTCCAGTGAGTCCTTGGTGTTGGTATCAGTTCAAGTTCTGAACAATGGAAAAGCCTATATTACTGTAAATTGTGAAAAAATTATGATTGGTTCAATGCTACTAAAAGAATTACGAGAAGCCCTAGGGAAGTAATACAAACTGAGAAGTTAAGAAAGTGAACAGAAATTGGTCATGCAAATAGAGGTTTAAGATGCATGTTATGTTATTTGGCAAGTGAATTATGAAATACATCTGATACGAAATTTTCAGAATTTATTCAAAAGTAAGAATTTTTTGATTGTTTATCAATTAAATAAAGATTATGTGTTGTATTTGGCTTTCAGTAAAAATGTTCAATAGCTGGGAAGTACAAGATTATTACATACGAGCAGAAAGATATTGAACATTGTTTAGAAAATGCAGAGTTGACCAAAAACAAATTGTGGGTGTTTGGCTAACTTGAAATACAAGTAAAAAATGCTATAAATTTAGTATGCTGATCTTAATAATGAACAGAAAAAGTTACTTTTGAATGTACATTACTTTTAATCAGTGTAAGTTAATATATCTGGCAATTGATATTGTAAATTAATCATTTGAGAACTATGGTTTAATACATGTTTGATAATACTTTGAACTTATTCAGTAACAGAGACATAAAGTAACAGTTATTGTTCATAAACTTGTGTATCTAACATTCCAAGAACAAGATTAATTTGCTTTGCTTACACTTTTTTTAACAGCAAGAGCAACATGACATAGGTAGTATTACACATCATCTTTCTAGAAACTGATAATTATACAAACTTGCATATAATTCATAGGAAAAAATGAAACTGTGTGACTTCATTGAAATACTACCCAAGACTAAATGTAATGACTATTATCTGTAT